AGACACCCAGATCAAATGAAAGAGTTCAAGCAGGTAAGTTTCATTTCATCCCATACATTGATTTATTTGAGGCGCCCGCCACAATATCAAAACTCGCCGTCACAAATAGATTTTCCAAAAGGCTTTGACTTCGTTGAATAAACATGAGCACTGTACGTGTCAAAGTCTAAACTCGGTGCGGGTGTTTTTATATCACTGTATTTCTGAAGGAAACCAACTGTCTTCAGAAAATTATGGATGTCATTTTCATTTCATCTTGCCTGTAATGCCTGAGCAGCGTTTGTGAGTGCAGCGCTTATTTGATTACAGCCGTTACTGGGGAAACCTCGATCTCTCCCGCTCTACAAGCGCCTCCTGCTGGCAGAGAATGGATTTGCATATATATGCCACCACAAATAGAGAGCAAGTCTGAGGGAAACACCGCTTCTGTTACGAATATTATTCAATATTTTAATTTGAATGTCAGATTGAAATGAACGCTGTTATAAGAGTAGTTAATCATTAGCATAAGCGCGGCTAACGCTAGTATAATGAGCATTAGAATTAAGTTTCTTTATTAACTATTTAATGATCCTATAACTTTTATTAGGGTAAAAAAAAAACAGGAGGACATGATGATATTAGGGCTGAAACAATTCCTCGAATACCTCGAGTAACTCGAATACAAAATATTATCGAGGCAAATTATTTACCATTATTACTGACGCACAACCCTAAAAACACTGGACCAGACCATAGACGATAGACTGTATAAAAACAGGGACCAGACTTTAAAAAAAAAGTGCTGGACATATTTAAAACCGTAAATCAATATGGTGGCTAGTTATAATGTCCCTACGTTAGCTATGTTTTGTGAAAGACTAAACGCCATTGTGCATAAAAATACCACAGAAAGAAAGTTAGTCAATATCACATGAAGAGTGCCAGTTTTCACCTCTAAAATCAGCATGATTACAAATGTGATTTTATTCAACAGTTCAATAAACAAGAAGGTAATATTATGAGACTTACGTTTAAGACACTATATTGCCTGTTTTTGCTTTATTTTGGCAACAAAAAAATTCTAAACACAGCCACAGCGCTGTTTTGCGTCTCTGTGCAACATGACGGCGTTTCGTTCCTGAATGAATCAACCGTTTAAATGATTCGGTTCAATCGCAACGACTCGCTTATTAACAGTGACTTGCTGCCACCTGCTGGCGGTTTTTTCATTTTAAAAATAATTTTAAATATCAGTATTCAAATTTTATGTTTAAAATATCAAAACATTATTTATGCATTTGTAACTGCAGGTTAAATGCATTCATAATAAAAATTAATTTTTTAAAAATGAAAACAAATTAGTTGTTTATTTTAAGAGATATATCTTATTATCTCTTGTATATTTAGTATTGCTCTTTAATAAAGAAAAATTACTTCTTATTTGACAATACTAATATATATATACTGTATATATCTGTTTTTCTTATTTTAATTTCAGTTGTAGTTTTAGTAATGTAGTACTTCAGGTTAAACTTATTTTTGGTTTTCATTTGTTTTTGTTTTTTTTAATATTTTCAGCTTTATTTCAATGAAAGAAAATGATTTTTAATAGTTTTTGTGAACAATAACAACACTGCTTATGATTTCCTCAGTCTTTAGAAAGCAGAATCAAATAATATTAAATTTGTTAGATATGTAAGAAATGAGCACTGTAAAAAAAATGATAAAATCATTGGTCATGATTAGAATATTGGCACATCTTTTTGTATGTAATAAATAATAGGTAATAAGAACCGAGGTTAATATCTTTTTTTCTTGTTGTCAGGATTATGAACGCTCGCTCAGACAGCTGAGTCTGGATGACATTGAGCGTCTGGCCAGTCGTCTGCTGCATCCAGAGACAGAGGGCATGGATACCTCATACATGGACTGAAACACACTAAACTGATGGAAACACTCCAGCTGCAGTGGACCAGCCCGCGGTCAGGGAGTGGGCTGTATTTCATATGGACTTTTAGGGGCCTCTCTGATCTTCAAGAGGCCACAATGCTTACCGTTGCTTTCCCATCAGAGGAAACCAGAGGTGCTTTTAGTGCAACTTTGTAAATATTGTGTGCAAATTATTAAATTACAATTAAAAAAAGTGTTCTTTATCAGTTTTTTTTATTTTTTATTTGGAATTAACAGCCAGCTTGGTTTTAAATGCATCTTTATTTTTTTGGTTTTGGTGTCTTACATTTGGCCCAAATAAAAATTATGCCTGAATTTATTATAATTTTTTTTTTGCATTTTGGCATATATAATTGAGGAGCTCCTAGGTTGAGTATGGGTATATATTAATGAATACAAGCATAACATGTAACTATGTCCAATGGCAAATCAAAACACTGAGTTAAGCATGACGTAACCTCATTAGTGTGCTTCTCACATTTACATACTCAACAGCTATATGTGCAAAAACGTACATCTTTTGTAAACCATTATAACTGGCATGGTTGAAATATGTTACAGAAACAATCAAGTGGCTTAAAACACTTTCAGAAGTCCTTACAGTCCAACTAAGACTAAAATATTCTCAGATTTAATGTTGAAGTCAACCTAGAAGATCCCAGTACCCTCATGTCCAAGTTAATACACTGTTAGCACATCCTTACTCACTTATGTATATTGACACTAGTAGGGCTGGGAGATGAGTGAAGAAACCAGTTTGATATTTTTATCTTTTGACAATAGTCATTTGCCCTGATTTATTTATTTATCTAGAGAAACTATCATTTCAAACAAACAGCAATTTTGTGAAGTGGATTTTAAATGTCTAAAGTAAAAAATAAAATCCATGCATGTTTTCCATACCTTTTCCCTACATAGACACGGGTAAATATATTTAATAATTTTATATATGCAGACACTAATAAATAAAACAATACCTACTTTTTTAATTTTAAAACATTTGAAATTATGTGAAACTGGGATTTCCACGATCATTTTTGAGTGATAAATCAAATTAATATAACTGATCTAAAGAGCTCCAAAGCCATTTCTGCATGTTTATTTTACTGAGAAGCTATGGTGTAAACAAATGTTGGTTGATTTTAAATGGCAGATAAAATATTTTATTAATATTGTTATATTTCCCAGCCCTATTACATATGCAATGTTTTTAAATGAATATTCATTCAGCATAGGAGTGAAACAGGCATTGATAACAATAACCAATAGTACAAATTAAAAAGGCACAATGAACTAGCAGAGCAAAGGATAATTTCTGAGAAAAGAAAATCAGACAGTGGGGAATTCTCGGACAGCTGTAGTGATAGCAGAACTCGTAATAAATGTAATGTCAGAGGTTCCTGTTCCTCAATAGTTCATACCACACGTTTACTTGGAGTTCAGCAAGAAAATGGATGTTCGGCTTTCACACGTGGCATTTGATACCCTGGAGGTTTCAAAGGAGGAAAAGGGGAGGACGGTCGCTCGAACAACAGGCCTGGATCTTTTCCATCTCGCTTTCTTCCTTTCCCGTGTTGGCTCTTTCTCTTGCCGTCCCCAGTTTAGTCTTTCCTTCAGCAGTTGCAGCCATCACTGCTAGACACCGGTCTGTCGTTTCTTAGTTTAATCTGGTCAGGGAAATCATACGTCTCCACTGACTCCTGAAAGTTCAATTCATTTCAGATTTAGTGTTTACTTAATGACAAATCCCAGCCAATTAAATACATTCCTAAAAATAACGGTTGTTTATTGGCATTGATGGTACCTTCCATGAAGAACCTTTAACATCCATGGAACCTTTCCATTGAACAAAAGGTTCTTTATGGTGGAAAAAGTTTAGATTGTTAAAATGTCCTTCAGACAAAGAAAATGGTTCATTTAAAGGTTCCAAATTGGTTTTTCAAACCTTTTTGTAACCTTTAATTTTAAGAGTGTAGAATTTTTTCGTTCCACAAAAAGGTAGTGGAAAAGTTTATTTATATTTTTAAAATATTCTTCAAACGAAGATTCGCTGAAAGGTTCTTTGGCATTATTTACTCACCCATGTAGGGGTGTGCGATATATATCGTCTGCGATAACATTGTAATTGTTGTTTTAACAATGTGCGATTAGACATTATCGAGTATTTTACAAAAACCTTACAAAACACACCTACAGAGCGCACGCATACATTACGAGAAGTCTAGACTAGTGCATTTAGATGCGCATTTAGAGTGTTCTTTCACTGCATGATTCAGTCTATTAAAATACATTTAGAATGATCACAAATTCAAGACATGGGGGCAGAAAATTTATATATTTATAAGACTTAATATAGTTAATCAATTTCAAACGAAGAGTGCCGTTTTTTTCTCCAAAAATTACCATGATTACAAATGTGATTCTTGATTTCAATAAACAAGAAGTTAAGTTAGAGACTTACATTTTAGACACGATATTTCTTGTTTATGTGGTATTTCGACAACAAAAAATAATTCCAAACACAGCCAAAGCACTGTTTTGAGTCTCTGAGCAAATAACGGTGTTTCATTCCTGAATGAATCAACCGTTTAAATGATTCGGTTCAATCGCAATGACTCGCTTATTAACAGCGACTTGCTGCCACCTACTGGCGGTTTTAATTTCACATTTAAAGTATCTTTTTATTATTTAAATTATTAAAAATATCAGTATTCAATGTTTTATGTTTAATATATCAAAACATTATTTATGCATTTGTAACTGCAGGTTAAATGCATTCAT